GGCCATCACTTCGATGTAGACTGACCTGATGGACAGGCCATCACTTCGATGTAAACTGACCTGATGGACCGGCCATCACTTCGATGTAGACTGACCTGATAGACAGGCCATCACTTCGATGTAGACTGACCTGATGGACAGGCCATCACTCCGATGTAGACTGACCTGATGGACAGGCCATCACTTCGATGTAGACTGACCTGATGGACAGGCCATCACTTCGATGTAGTGGTAGGCCGCCTTTCCGCGCTTCAGTCTCTGCACTGACCTGATGGACAGGCCATCACTTCACTGTAGACTGACCTGATGGACAGGCCATCACTTCGATGTAGTGGTAGGCCGTCTTGCCGCGCTTCAGTCTCTGTACGATGTTCTGCAGGTTGCGGAAGCCGTACGCGCGGCACACGCGCACCACCTCCTCCCCTCCTACGCTCAGGCTCGCCTCCTGCAGGTCCGCGTTCCTGCATTAACATTAAAAAGTTAACGTTCCATTTTAACGGTAAAAAAATTAACGTTTCGAATTAACATTAAAAAAATATAACTCAGTACTCACTGCAGTGAGTGACAGAGAGCGCATTTACTCGTCGACGAAAACATGGTCACGGACGGACAGACGGACGGACATGACGAGCACAACAGCGCCTTTTTCCCATAAATGGAAAAAAATGCGCTAAAAATTAACGTTCCAAATTAACATCAAAAAGTGAAAGGCTGAGGTAGGTATATGTACGGTAGAATTGGCTACGAAGTTCATCGATGCTAATCAGAAAAAAAAACAAATAGGACTGGATTGCTGTAGAAAAAAGTAGATGTTGTTGTAGGCTGGCTATAGGAGCGAGGAAAGTAGGCATTTTATGGAAAGGATACATGAGGGAAAGGATGATAAAGCCTACTCAGGATGGGGGGAAGATCGAACAAAATCTGATATTCAGTTTCATGAAACACTCTAGCTTTGTTTCGCAACTGAAGATCAGCCGAACTTATGATAAGTAAATCAAAAAGAACAAATGCAATTAGGAACATTTGATGAGGATGGTTGATGTAGGGGTTGAAGTAAGGGGTGACATAAGAGTTAATGTTGGAGTTTTCCAGGGGGTTGCATTAGGGTTGATCCAGAGGTCGCCCAGAGGCTTATGAAGATGGTTGATGTAGGGGTTGTCCAGAGTTTGATGTAGGTGATGGTATGGGAGTTTTTGTTCAGGGGTTGATGTAGGAGTTGCCCAGGGGTTGATGTAGACGAGGTTTATAAAGATGGTTGATGTTTGAGTTGTCCAGGGGTTGTACAGGGGTTGATGTAGGAGTTATGTCCAGTGGTTGATGTAGGAGTTATGTCCAGGGGTTGATGTAGGAGTTATGTCCAGGGGTTGATGTAGGAGTTATGTCCAGGGGTTGATGTAGGAGTTATGTAAAATTTACCAGGCGCCAGCATCTGCTCTACTTCCTCTGAAAAATTTATTTGTTTCTCATCTTTTTGTTAAAAATTAATTCAATATAATTTCAAACTATCATTACTTTTAATACAAATGATAAAGTTTAATAGAATAAATAAGGTTAAATAATTAGTAAGTATGGTTAAATGCGTAGTAAATGAGGTTAAATAATTTTTCTGCGAGCATCTGCTCCACTTCAACTGAAAAATTTATTTGTTTATCATCTATTTGTTAAAAATGAATTTAATATAATATCTGACCATAACCATTGATATAATAAATGATTAAGTTAAATAAGTATTGAATAAGGTTAAATAAGTAGTAAATAAGGTTAAATAGTAATGTAAGTAGGTAAATAGTTTCATTTGAGAGTACAGGTATATTTTTGCATGGACGAGTTAGGTTATACGAAATGCCATCAAGATTTCGAACTACTAGATATTTTGCCTGAATTAATGGCCCTACCCTTAATACTATACGAAATGCACATAGACATAAATAAGATAGAGATAACATATATAAAACACAACGGTTACCATATATATATATATATAAAAGACCCCAACTTGGCTTTATAATAATTCCGTTAATATTCAACTAATTCCATGACCCACTTAACGATGGTGACTAGCACTGCGTGACCCACTTGACTAGCGCTGCGTGACCCACTTAACGATGGTAACTAGCATCGCGTGACCCACTTAACGATGGTAACTAGCACTGCGCGACCCACTTAACGATGGTAACTAGCACTGCGCGACCCACTTAACGATGGTAACTAGCACTGCGCGACCCACTTAACGATGGTAACTAGCACTGCGTGACCCACTTAACGATGGTAACTAGCACTGCATGATCCACTTAACTAGCACTTGACCCACTTAATTAGCACTTGACCCACTTAACAAGCACTTGAACCACTTAACTAGCACTTGACCCACTTAACTATCACTTGACCCACTTAACTAGCACTTGACTCACTTAACTAGCACTTAATCCACTTAACTAGCACTTGACCAACTTAACTAGTACATGACCCACTTAACTAGTACTTGACCCACTTAACTAGCACTTAACCCACTTAACTATCACTTGACCAACTTAACTAGTACATGACCCACTTAACTAGTACTTGACCCACTTAACTAGCACTTGACCCACTTAACTAGCACTTGACCCACTTAACTAGCACTTGACCCACTTAACTAAATTAGGGGACGGGGGTTATTAATTAGGGGACGTGAATTACTAATTATGGGACAAGGAATATTCATTCGGGGAAGATTATTCATTATGGGACGGTGGTTATTAATTAGGGGAGGGTGTAATTAATTAGGGGACGAGGATTATTCATTGTGGGGCGGTGATTATTTATTTTTGGATGGGGATTATTCATTAGGGGCGGGGGATTAGTGATTATAGGACAAGAAATATTCATTCTGGGACGGTGATTATTCATTCTGGGACGGTGATAATTAATTATGGGACGGTGATAATTAATTATGGGACGGGGATTAATAATTATGGGACGGGGATTATTCATTCTGGGATGATCATGAGACGTACACTATGAGAAATAGGTGCGTCAGGATGATAAACTTAGAAGAGCTAACCGGTAACCGCATCCAAATAGCGATGCTCTTTTTTTGACTCACTTGTGGGGTCTCTTACCGGACCTTTAAATCCCAGGTTATGACTCACTTGTGTCGTCAAATGCTGCCTAGGCATCCATACTACGGGAGGCGCCTCAAGTGAGTCGAAAAAGTGCGTCGCTATTTAGACGCGATTGATTCATCTTAGTGGGTCATCCAGACCCACCTATTTACTTCAGTGTAACGTCAGAAACAATAAAAGAAATTTATGTACGTCGTAGAGGACGTCATTATGTAACTTATATAACTAACTTTAACTTAACTTAAAAACTGGTATATTATCAAGCTGCCTGAAGTAGCCTGCGCATGGAGGGGACTAAGGCATATAAACTTATGTAACTTATGATCTATTATATTTATTACAGGTAAAGCATGTAAACTCATGTAACTTATATGAACTATTATATTTATTATAGGCTAAGCATGTAAACTCATGTAACTTATATAACTAACTTTAACTTAAGTTAAAAACTAGTATATTTATTATCAAGCTGCCTGAAGTAGCCTGCACGTAGAGGGGACCGAGGCGTATAAATTCGCGTAACTTATATAATTATTATATTTATTATTAAAAGGTGAAACATGTAAAGTGATTTAAAATAAAACTATTACCTATATTTATTAAAAGGATATATATTGGTAAGTCCGTTAAGAAAGAAGCCTGCGCATACAAGAGACCAAGCCATATCAACTTATGTAACTTATGAATTAATATATTTAATATAAGGTAAAGCATATAAACTGATGTAACTTATAAAGTATTATATTTATTATAAGAATTTATATATTGGTAAGTACGTTGAGAAAGAAGCCTGCGGTTAGGAGAGATCAAGGCATATAAAATGATGTAACTTATAAACTATTATATTATAAGTATTAATAGCAGCAGTTAATTAACTTGGTAAGTACATGAAGGAATAAGATAAAGAAATAAATTAGATCACACGCACGTAGATTTTAGATTTAGATTTTTTTAGATTAGATTTTTAGATTTTTTACATTTTTAGATTAGATTTTTGACTTCTCTGTCAAAATTGCGGTCTACTTTAATAGACCCAGTCTACTCTGGTAGACTAATTATTGTTTTTATTAGGTATTAGGAATTAAAATGTAAAAGCTGCTAGGAAATTAATATTTACATAATAAATAGTAAATATTATTAATATTATTTATATAAATTTGATATTTATATAATAAATATTAAATATTTTTTTTATTACTTTTATTAATTTGATATTCATTTATTAAATAATAAATATTATTATTATTTATTATAT